GTTTCGGTGCATCTCAAATCTTAAACTTTTCGAAGTGTTTTTGAGGGTTCTCGACAAAGTAATAATAAATTTTTAAATAATATTATCTCTTTTGACATCAGTTCTGACGTTTTGAGCGTCTTAAAAAAAATTTTGTTTGTCTTAAAAACATAAATACTTTTTTAAAAATAAAACCAATATGGTTAAATGTTTTCTATTTGAAATGCTTTTAAAATGTGTAGTCTGAACGTTTATTATTGCGTACGTGTACATAGCAAGAAGCGTTACACGTATGATTCTTAACCAGTATGCAACTGAGTTGTAAGAACGAGTGTGTCTTTATGACATAACATTTCCAAATTTCAGTAGTAAAATTACGTAATTTTAATGTACATTTGCTAAACTATAAACATTTTAAAATTGTTTGGGGAACTTGAAGGCACATTTTCAGTATATAATCACCGCCTTTGCTTGAAAGAAATCTTTCACAAAAGGTGAAAACCGTCTTTTATACAAAAACTTTGTGCAATTCAAACACGCTTGGCAAATTACTGGTTCGAAATTATATATAAAAAAAAATGTAATGGCTCCCAAAGTTTACAAGTCTCACCTTAAATGAGAACTATAACATTTTTTTAAAGTTGTTATTTAACCAGTGCTTGATATTTCATTATAAATACTAAGTTATGTTATAGTAACTAATCGAAATGAATGTTTGAAAACTATGTTTCACAAGATATTAGTATATATAATTTACACAGTTGCTAACGTATTGTTCACAATAATTTATTCCAAACCCGTAGACAAGCAAGATCTTCTATACACAATGCTTGACACCTGCAACAGGTTGGAAATCAATAGCCGATAAAATATTTATTGTTGATGTATTTATGTGATAGCGGTAAGTTTATGCACTTATAATGCTAACATCCGCGGTTCGATTCTCTGCAGTGGACACAGCAGATAGCCCGATGTGTTTTTTGCTCTGGAAGAAACTAACAAATGTTTTTATTTTATTTATATATAGGTTCGTATTTTAGAGGATGCACCAGAACTCGTTGTTTTAGATTACACTATGAGTGTTTTTGCTCTAAAAGAAACAAGCAAATGTTTTTATTTTATTTATATATAGGTTCGTATTTTAGAGGATGCACTAAAACTCGTTGTTTTAGATTACACTATGAAGCATACTAGCTGGTATTGAATAATAACTGTCACACCTTAACCAGATTCAAATTAAAGTATTGAAACTAACCTTGCTTTTCATTATCCTACATAAATGGGTGATAAAGAATGTCTTTCTCAATGCAAGAACCAATTTTATGTAATAATTTTACAATTTTAAAACAAAAGTGTTTGAAATTCTCTATTTTTCAATTAGACTTAGCGCTTGGGGTTTCTCCATTGATTGATATGTAGAATATAATATAAAACATACAGAGAGTATTCATGAACTAGTAACTATCTGCATATCTATCTGTTTTGCCCTTGGCTAATTGTGTGGCCTGTAATTACACATAATAAAACTATGACCCTCTTTTTCAAGTCAATTGAAGTAAGATATATTACTAGTGTTCATGGCGCATAAATTGATCCCTTCTGGGTTGGGGGTACACCAAATGATTTTACAACACGAAGTTCTCCTTATCTAGGATTATAAAAGCATTCAAAGCACGACATTTTAACGCTTACAATAAAGAGATATTCACAGCGTTAAATTGTGTCAGCAACACAAAAAAGGCATAATTCCAAAAGAAAAAACCTACTCCACGACTGGCTACCGCTCGCATACCGGAGGTAGTGAAGAAAGTTAAATAACTTTTGAGAAGTAACCAAGGACGCGGTGACCCATTGCAGTCAAAACGGGAACCTTCCTTGAAACTATATGCAATATAATTCAGATGAATTTATGTCTACTATGGGAGGCCAACTATTGAAAACTGTTCAAAGATTTGCAAACAGTTTCCGACATGTGATAATTGGAATTGCATATGTTTACTTATGTAACTACAAGTGTCAGGACTATTTTTGTCATTTTGTCGATAGTACAGCATTTTAATGTTGTTAACAAAGTTATTCTTTAGGATTTGCTTACATGTTACAGCGATAAAGTAAGCTA